ATAGTTGAGTTGCAATGTAGAGCACTTGAGGCTGAAGTAAAAATAGCATAGTACCATAAAGAATATGACTAGTTGGAGGCCGTAACTCCTTGCGTGCGCAAGCGGTGAATGCCTCATTGAGAAAATGACCAGTTGTTAAATATTTGATGTGTTTCAGTTGGAGGCCGTAGTTCCTTGTGGCGGCAAGCAGTGGCTGAGTCTAATGAGAATCTGACCAGTTTGAGGCCGTAGCTCCTTGTGTGGGCAAGCGGTGGCTGAGTCTAATGAGAATTTGACCAGTTTGAGGCCGTAGCTCCTTGTGCGGGCAAGCGGTGGCTGAGTCTAATAAAATCCAGATCTGTTGAGACCGTAGTCATAGTGGGCAAGCGGTGGCATTTTTTTAATGTTTTGTTTTAACAGGTATTTCACTAATTAGCTAGGCAGCCGTGTTTGCAGAGATGCTGACTAGTACCTGGTGTGAAAAATTAAATGATACAACTTAAGGCGGAAAAATATAACAAAGACTGAATTCATGATGTTGAAATGTAATGTGTAGTTGTCAGTGGCAACTTTCATATTTTAAGTATGTAAAGTATCTCAAACTAAATTTTATATGATTTTAATTTTATTATATTACCCGATGTTAACTGTTATGATAATATCGAATGAGGCCCTTCGATAACGTTGGATGGCCGAAGTGGCTACGAATACCATCGATAAAATATAAAGTGAATAGTAGGCTTACTAAACTCACGTTCGTTTGACGAAAGTTAGTAATTCGTTTTATGGAAATTGCGCAAGGTTTTACAACAAACTCCCAGAGTCTGTACTCAATTTGCCAGAAAAAGAAATCAAATGTGTCATAAAATATTTTCTTTGTAAAAAAAAAAAAAAAGCTTATTATAAAATTGAAAAATTTATAAATGTCATCATTTATAAATCAGTGTTTTTTTTAGAAAATATCTAACTTGAAATTCATAGCGCTGTCAATGTTGTCTGATTGAACGGAGATTAAGTGCGTAGCGGTTTTTATGTTGATTGCCGCACGCCTAATCCTTGTTGTTAATTAAATATAAGTAAATCAATATTTATTTAAAAGAACAACACACAGGTTTCTTGTTTGTTCTTCTTGTGATGAATCTGCGTTCCGAATAAGCGATAGATTCAAAAATCTTGACTACTCAAAAGTGCTTATATTAAGTTTGTTTGAATAAAGATTATTTCTATTTCACATTAATCTGGAACAGTGGGTTTTGGTTTATGTTAAACTGGTGTTGTAAAGAAAATTGAGATCAGTATCTACAATCATTTATAGTTCCCTAAATGTACAGGGTTCAAAGGGTGCAATAGATTACTTGACCAGTGAGCTGATGGTATTGTTACGTAAATCATAACTGAAATTCAATGAATTATGTTATATTAAAATAATTCTCTGGTAAATCAAGAGTATCGTCGAAGTAAAATAGTAGTAGTAGTATTGAGGGTATTAGAACCACTTGAATAATATTGACCTGTTATTTTCTATTGGTGAGGTGAAGGCAGGCAGCGATTTTGTTCTAATTTTATGTCACGAGAATAATACTTTCTCTTTATATTTTTTTCTCTATATATGTAGGTAATTAAGTTTTACCTTTTGTAATGTGATATGTTAAATTTATCCGTTAAAATATTCATGATGAGAAATGTCAAGTTCTATTTTGGAGGTATAAAAAAAAAATGCAATGTTCATCGGATCGGAAACTTACATTGTGATGGTGATATGTTACAGTCTGACTCATAGAAGTCAATCACCGCCAAATAATTGTTTGTTACTCTAAAAGGTTGTTCATGTTTTTGGGTGATTTGGATTATGTAAATTAATATATGTTATGTTATATTTTGTGCATTCTGAATGCATGCCGAAACTTAGCTCTGTTAGTATTGATTTTAGATTGTAAACCTTTGACAGTATACTAAGATAGTCAATGTTATGAAAGTAATGTGTATCTTTAGTTTATTTAGTTAAGTATTTGTTATATGATCCTGTAGACACTATATCCTTTGATAAGCATGACTACGCTCATCAGTTACCTATGTGTCTGGGCCAGACACTATTGCAGGATGGCCGACTGTTAACTATCGTGTGACGCACCATTAATTAAAAATGGTAAAGTCAATAATCATGTAACCTGAAACGGAACGTCAGAGGCCAGAGCCAAAGTAATCTATGTGACATTGACAAGTGGATGACGGACGATTGAACGGAGGCAGCGGGAGTTTTGGAGCGAAAGTGTTGATATTATTATAAAAACAAATAAGAGATAGATAATTGTGAATATTGTAGGCATTGAGGTGTTTCTCTCCCTGACTAATCGGCATTACGCCTAAGTCGTCAGGATACTAGTGATTTTAAAATACACTACATATTTATAATAAAGACTACACACGAAGACCCCTTTACATTGTGGTAACACTGGCCTTGTTCATTCAAAGCCTGAAGAATCGCTAAAGTACTGCACCTACTTCCAGCGTCAAGGTGAATTGTGAAAATCACTTAGCTATAAATGTTCTTGATTCAGCGCTACTCATGCAAATATTCAATGCTACACGATGTATTGTATAATATCGATTTTTTATTTCAATATCGTATAATTGCAATAGAGGTCATAATGATATAACAGCGTGACGGTTGACTGGTAGAGAATGCCATCAGGCATTAAGTCCGCCATATATACAATTTTGTGTGCAAAAGAATAAATAAACAGAATAGCAGAGAGAGTCAGTCCATCACTGTCCCCGCTGGGTAGTAAATATGATTATTATTATTATTCTCTCTTTTTCATAGCGAAGTTGGTGATTACTACCGAGGATGGGCTATACCAAGTCTCTCGTTACCTTACTTCGTATTCTATTGCAGATGTATCTACGAATACTCCTGTAGTGAAATGTACAAATGCTTATTTTTCTGTTTATTATTATTATTATTTCTTCTATTCTATTAAATTATTCAATATTTTAACGCGTAACCTATCCATGAAAATAGGGTAGTCACCTATGTAGCAAACATGTCTTATATAAATAAATACTTTGACTTTCATACTAACTTTATATTATTAATATTATAAACGCGAAAGTTTATGAGTATAGATGGTGGTTTGTTAGTCTTTCACGCAAAAACTACTGAACGAATTTTGATGAAACTTTACAGTAACATAGCTTATACATCAGAATAGCATACAGGTTATAAAATTAAGGCGGTTGAAACCGCGGACACAGCTCGTAAACTATAAACCCATCCGAACTTCGGTTCAGACAATTGACATTTACACATAACGTGAGGATATGTCTTTATGATTAATGTATCTTTCGAACAGCGAAGGATTTTAAATATTTAGGTGCAGTGAGAGCATGTTAGTAAATGGGACTATTGTCCCCATTAAGTACTATGTCAGATCAGCCTACTAGCCTATAGCCTAGTTTTATCGAATTTGGTGTAGTTTTGCAAAAAGTAATTTCAGTACTTGAAGGATTAATATTATTTTGTTTAATTCCACTACCATTAGTATTTTATTCAGCATTGAATATTTGTGGTCTCACCACAAATATTCAGTGCGGGAAGGAATTCATGGAAACCGTACCACCACTACTAGAAGAAAAGAATTATTCAGTCTATACCATATTGCGACATGTGTTTCGCCCCTGAACGAAGCATCATTATTCTTTATTCATTACTGTATCATTGCCTCCTCAGCGTTAGAAATGCAGACATTACTATTGTATCATCATCAACAAAAAAAGGTTTGGTTTTAAAGGAGATTAATAATAATAATCCAGGACAATTCCCACACAGCTCTGATCTCAAATAAAACAGAGCTTGAACTATAGATACTAAACATCTGACATAAATATTTAAAAGCATTTTTTACACGTAGTAACAATCTATACCAAAACATAAAATCATACTTATGATAAGAATTATTTGTATCGCGTGAGAATCGAAGTGCGTAATATTACCATTATCAGTACAATATTTGTGTACATATAGTAAAACATGGTTGTAGTATATATAGTCTTTGGTATAATCTGTCTAAAATATAATCATACAGTAGGTACAAATATAGTCTATGATGTTTGTATGATACACTGTGCAGTACATAGAGTCTGCATTGTAAAATTACAAATTCGTAATATCACCATTATCAGTACAATATTAGTGTACATATAATAGAATATGGCCCTATATCCAAATATACTGGGATGAATACAGGCCCCAGTACCAATAAAGATAAGATAAGATCAGAAATACAAAGTTGACAATGTTCTATCGTCATTAAAGTTATCATTATGAGCAAATATTTAACAAGGGTTGTTATGTTACTAGGAAGTTACGAGTATATCAGGTTGACCACCACACTGTCCCTCTCGAAGCATCCTGATTAATCACTGGTCAATTCGCCATAATGAGCTCACAGACCTGATTACATCTACCATCCTAGGCATATATATACTATTAGCGCAGCCCAGTGCACTATACTAGTCTTCCATAGATAAAAATATTTCACAATAATTTTATTTCTCTAATATGAAATAAATGAAGATCGTTTTTACATATGAGATGTTCTATTGTCATTTTTTTGGATAGAGTAAACAAAACAACATATTGGCAAGTGTGTAATCAAGATAAGTCCCAATAGAGTGACTGAGCTTGAAATTAAACATAGGTAGGTAGAATAGATAAATGAACCTTGATCTCCTGAATGAACATTGATGTCATATAGTAGAGTAGGTACTTTACCATTCTTAGATTTTACATTCAGCATTTGTCATTGAGATGTATATCCCCTGTAATTTCACTCTCATAAAAAATGGCTAGAAAGATGAGGAAAACAAGAATAAATCCCTAGCTTAGGAGCAGATATAGTTAAGAGTATATAAACATAGCAAAGAACTGGGTATAATCAAAGTAAAATTATAAAAAAAATTACATGACATTGAAAGTAGATGATTGCATGGATAAAGCTAAAGAAAAGTGCAATAAATACCTTATTTCCGACAACCATAAAGGGAAACTTCTCTATTCCATTCTTAACACCGGCATAGTGAAGAAACTCATTGAGCCACATTTTAATATTGTTGAAAGAACTCCGATCATCTATGGCATAGGCCAGTATACAAATATCTGTTCCTCTGTAGAAAGGTGTACGGAGAGACTTGAAACGTTCCTGGCCGGCGGTATCCCATACCTGCAAATTATTAATAATAAATAGGTTGCCTCCGATTGGCCCCCATCCAATTCAAACAGGGATTGAAATTACGATGGCCTGAGCTAAGGTTTAATTCATATCCATCAAGTGGGAGTTAGCCTTCAGCCACTGCATAAGTCTTTCTGCAGGTTTGGAGTGCCATTGGCACTCACTCCCTATCATCCGGTGATGCTTTTAAGGCCAGCTGCTGCCAACAGCATTAGAGTAGTCCGAAAAAAAAATAATAATAAATAGGATACTCTATGGATTAGTGTGCACATCATGATTTGATGCAATCAAGTCAAAAACATGCCAGATTGTATTTTAGTACAACCATAGTATCTTAAAATAAAGCTGCACAAAAAGTGAAGTGCAGTTTTTTGAAACTGCACTTCACTTTTGGCAGCATTTATAGATTTTGATCTATAAATGCTCATGGCATCTTCCGGCATTTACAGATTCAACAAAAAAAATGGTGAGTGTAAAAAGCGCCTGTGAAGTAGCAAAAGTCAACTGCCTGATGGCCATAACTTTAGTCTGAGAGCACCAGGAGAGATTGTAATCTCAGCGAAGACTAATAATTTACATCCCCATTAGAATATAATAAATTTGATGACAAATTTTGTTAACTTCCAATGTACTATATGGTAGATATATTATTTTTACAAATTTTGTGGAAAAAGTAGAAATTCTTCTGAAATGTTACTTTAAAAGTCGAGAAACTAATTCATATATTTTAATTAATCTACTGTCAATACAATGAAATTCATATCTCAAATAGGGATATAGATATTTTCCATTTAACACAGCTTCATTTCCAAACACAGTTGAAGAACCTTTATATCATATAATATTGTCAAAATGAACTACTGTAAAATGATATTTAATATGGGTTTATTTTTATAGAAGTATATAATATATGTTAATAAAATCTACCCAAAATTACATTAGTTCACTTATTGCAGTTCTATATTACTTTCTGTTTACTATTTTTTTTTTATCTAAGTACTTTATGTTGTATCTATTTACACAATTTAGCTTCTAGGTGTACTTAGTTATGATCTGTAAAAATTGTACACCTCTAGTAAACTGCTTACACTAATTGTAATCTGTTTTATGTGCTTGTAAGTAAATAAAAAAAATATACTATTCATTATAATTTTTAATATTATTATGTATTTAAAAAAATATATAACTATCTAATGTATATATTAGACCAACTTACTTGCAATGTATAGTCTTTTCCATTAACTTGTACCGTTTTATTCATAAACTCGACACCTATCGTGTGGAAGCTGTGGTCATCGAAATGGTTGGATATAAATCTGCTCATCAGGCAAGACTTGCCCACGCCACCATCTCCCAAGATAACAATTTTCAGCAGCGTATTTTTATTCTGACTCCTCCCGTACGTGTGATCATTCTCTTCCACCATTATTATAAAAAATAATCACCATTATACACCATCAATTGCTTCTTTTATGATTCCAGCCTTGAAATCAGCACTCTTTAATTGACAGTGACTCAGAGTATAACAGATTTCCACCAATGACATTAAAGTTAATTGGATAAATTGACTTAATAACCTTACATGCCTAAAGAGTATTTTTTTAATATCACGAATTGTATGTTAGTTTTATTTGGTAATGGAAAGAAATTTTGCAAAAGACACAGCTGTTCACATGTAATAACAACCGTCAAATGAATTAGGGATGTGATGTTCAATTTCAATAATAGGCATCGATGCAGTAATATATCGATATAAAGGATAAACAAGTCGATTGTTTATTATGAATGATGTCATTTTTAATAAAGGTATTTTCGTAAATGAATACAATATACTGATATTACTAATAATTTTACTGTTTTCAGTAATATCATTACAATTTTTTAAGGAATAAATACGCGTCGAAGTTATGAGATTATTTGAAATAAGATACACATTTTTGATGAGCCCCTTTTTTTAAGTTCATTCATGGAATATATAATATTTATGAGCATAGAAACTAAATAAATTAAAATAATAGCAGGTTTCATTCATGTTTTTATTTGGCACTAAATCAAGTATAACTTAAATGTGCCGCTGTTGAATTTGGCTACTTGTATACTAAAAAAATTTAATATTATATTATATTGACAGTTTATGATATCTATACGCGTCTAGAAATTAATATATGGTGACCTTTTTTCACCAAAATGGTTTTCTAGTGTTTGTCAGATATGTCACCGTGTAATATTAATATCGATAATAAATTTAGAAAAACAGCGTATCCCTAAATTATAATGCTTTGATTGGTTTGACTTATGTGGTGACGGATTCGAAGAGTTGCCAGAACTAATATTAATTTTTATACAAGGAAGTAAGAAAGATAATACAAGGAATTTTCTTTTATCAAAATTCAAATACTCATCAAATACATGTACTGAGTGTAGTTTGTTCAATATAAAAAATACAAAGAACATTTATAAATTACAAAATTCGCGAGGTCTAGCAATACCGGTGGAATCGTTTGAGATTGCGCTTTTGATTGATGTTTTATTTGCACTCTTGTCAATAATCCGTCATTCCTACTTCGGGATACATTTACGGCAAACTCTTATTAACGCCATCTAGTAAAATATGACTAAACAAGTGATGATCATGTTACTGCTTATGTACAAATACACCTAAAAATATTTGTTATTTGTGTTATATTTTCTTTAATAGAAAATTGCTTTGTTGATACACGTTTAGTTTTATTTATGTAATAGAGACAGAAATACCATAATTTAAAGTTTAAGTAAACATGCACTAGATGTCGCCTAAAATATTTTCTGCTTTGGCGGCCGTCACTATCGAGTCGCGCTGAGATGTCACGTCACGTTCACTTCGTTGATTTTATTCCGCTTTGTTTTGCGGAGCTGAGAGGACATCATTTGTCGATTTCTTGCGTTCAACGGTTGTGTTCAATGTTTTTCATATTAAAAGTATTTACTGTGTGAATAGACAATATATTTTGTACGAGAAGTGTATTCTTATTAGACCGATGACTGTGTTTGTGATAAATAATTGAGAGATTGCATTTGCACAATCGTTGTGAGACTTGATGTCAATAAACTTGTCGGTGGTATTTTATGGGAAAGGTGTGCCGCGTCGTGTTCGTATGTGCCGGGTGGCTTGGAGTCGGTATGGAGGCTGGTAGGGCCCCTGTGGCGCCCATGCCGTTGGTGCGATGGTGTAGTAGCTAGGAGCGAGGTGAGTGGCATCAGGCAGCGTTCGGGGCCGCGGCAAGGCAGCGGCGGGGTGCGGGGTGCGCGGCGGGCGGAGGACAGCGTGCATTCACCTCTGACCCGCGCGCGGGGCGAGCGGCGCTCAAGGTCGGTGCGCCGCCTGAAGGTCGCTCGTCACGTGACGCGAAGGGTGCACACCCCCCCTCCCTCGCGACCTTACCCACCCCTAGACTTTTTGATAGACGAACTACAGTGTTTCGTATTTATAAATAATAATAATAGTGTGCACCTGTTCTATTATATAATAATTTATATGTATTGGTAATAATAGATTCTATATAAAAAGTCCGCTGTTTCTACACTTCTTAACCATGCAACGGATTTTGATAGTTATTTATATGCATATAATATACAATGAGTTCACAACTTCACATCAAAGTCTTTGTCATTTATTTATTTACTTACTAGCGGCCCTACTCTGCTTAGCACGGGTGATTATTTAATAGCAAAATTTGCGCTAGTGTAACTAGTGCAGTGGCAGAGAAAGACCGAAAAAGAGATGGATGGACTGCGTGAAAGATGGTATGTTGAGGAAGGGAGTAAATAACGAGATGACTGCGAATAGAGATGAATGGAAGAGAAAAACACATTACGCCGACCACAAATATGTAAATGGGATAAGGAAGAAGCAGATGATGATGATTTTAGCCTAGTGTACTTTATTGTAGATTTAGTAGGAATCCCTAAATTTTGTCTACAAAAATATATTACAACTATAATACTCAGGGATAAACCAGCATTCATAGCATAGTGATTGAATTTTGCAAATCTAATGTTATAAGAAGTAACTTTGACTATTTTATTTTTATTATAGTTACGCCCTTATTTTCATAGACTGAAGGTCCATGCCCTTTTTTACAATTTTTTTTTGTTTTTTAATCCTGTCTTTCTATTATTATTTTTTCCACGCCTTCAATGCTCCATGAATAACACCCATTGTGGCTTCCCGCAGTTAATATATTACTATTTTTTTATTTGAATAAATAAAATAAATTCCACGGGGACGAAGTCGCGGGTACAAGCTATATGTTCATCATAAAATATAGTTAAGCTTAAATTAAGGGTTTCTATGTACTAATAACATTAAACAAACGAGATAGAATTATGCACCTATGTTGAAGTTCCTTTCAGATAGGTGCATAATTATATCTTAGATGCAATGCACGCTTCCATTCCATTGCAGCATAGAATGAATAGAAAATTCTTTATTGAAATAAAGTTAAATTTAAATACTTTTGAAATGTCATACTTTTTTTTTAATCATCGGCTCATTCGGAAAGCTTACAAGAACTTGCGTTGTTGCTCTTTTACTTAAGTAAATACTGAAACTTTACATTTTTAAGTTCAAATATGTGAATACAATTTACCAACTTGCACTAATTCATTAGATTAAATACACAATTAACTGATTAAGTAACTAAACAAGATTTAAGACCAGTCCCTACAAGCAGCATTCCCGAGTATGACGGAGCAACTATGTAGATTCCGTTTTTAGAATGCCTTCGTTTTGAGTCACGTTAAAAGTTGTAGTACCTTGAGTACAGACACGCCTTCTTGTAACGCCAGCGATTTCGTCACAACAACCGACCGTGGGTGGTAATTGTGTTGCTGATCCGAAATGCCGATTAAGTAAATATACCGCTAACTTTACATCTAATTAACACAACGGTTATATCCCATAACTGGCGATTGGTTAGCAAATCCATATTATAAATGCTGGACTGAATTAACGTCTGTCTGTCTTTTTTCTTTCTTGTCTGTTACCTTTTCGCGACTAAACGGCTGAACGGATCTGAATGAAATTTGATATAAAGATAGATTTGAAATAGCTTTGTCTGAAACGGTCCAGACGATGATAGTGATAAAAAATATAACTTGCATGTGGCTGAAAATGTCTTATGAATAAATTATTATGACTTTGTACAAGAAAAACAGAGGAAGGCGCGGCAAATAACTTGTTATCTTATAAACTTTATATTGATAATTAATTTTATAAATACAAAATGTCTACTTTGTCCGGGAATCGAACTTAACACTATCGTGAAGGTGGTAGAGCAACCGCTAGACTACTAACGCTTTGAAGCCGAAGAAACAGCCTCTCACGTAATCTTGGATTGCAGAACGTACACAAATCCTCAGAACGGTGAGGTCGCACCGTGAAGCCTGTGAAGACACCCGGAGGCTTCTGCGCTTCTGAGAGGAGCATGGCTGGATACTTTAGCAGTTTTGACTGTACACGCACAAGTGGCCACAAAACATACAAAATTCCTGGGAACGGTGAGGTTGCTCCGTGAAGCCTGTGAAGACACAGACAGACAGGAGTCTTCTGCGCTTCTGAGAGGAGCATGACTGGCTGCTTTTGTAGTCTCGGCTCTATATATGAGAGGCTAAATGCCGAGAGTACAATTTACGTTTGAACCACCAAGGTTATTAAATTAAACTACTTACTTAGATATTCTGTATACTGCAAGGTAAACGTTATCATATCTTGATCTTTACGAGGCAAGAAAGAACCACTCTCCAACCCTACTGTTTAATTGCAAAATGTATGTCGAAATAGGATCTTGACAAGCTCATTGTTTCTACTAAGCCGGATGGAATTGATTAATGAACTACTGCAATAATTAACCATTAAAGTTACAGTTATTGGTAGTGTTGTTATTCTCTTTGTTAGTGCGATTGCTGTGTTTACTTCTGCATTATCATGCAATATAACTGCAAATACAAACGGTGTAAGTAAAGAAATTAGTATCCTCAATTCTCTCCTTACATCGTTTGTATTGTTAAACAAATTTAATGTAACTAGTGGTCGGCCAATGGTCGAAATTCGACCATAATTGGTTATTAATGACGACCTCGGTGATATAGCGGTTTAGCACACCGTTTTACTGTCCGATAGTGTGTTCGATTCCTAGTGCGATGCAAACATTTCTATTCATGCGTATGATTATTTATATCGGTCTAGATGTTTGCTATTATATATTATGTATGTCAAGTTTTCAACTACCCATAACACAAGCTCTGCTTACCGTGGCACTAGATGGCTGACTGTGACGCAGATAGACTTTCGTAGAATGTAGTTTTAACAGCTCTTTTATAAAATATATAGATTGCATCACAATAATATAGTATTGCTAGCGAAAGCTTTATACATATAATATGACAGAGTTATAAAATGTGCGTAGCAAGTCTCCCAATGCCATCATGTGCTGTTATCCCGAATGGGGAATAGAGGTATTGTCAATTATCTACGTCATTATTGCTGCAATTTTTTTTTTAGTTTCGTTCACGGTGTTTCTGTCTGTGATTTAGTCGGATAATTTGTTATTTTATTTCTGCCAAATTTGAACTAAGATTTCGAGTGTAAGTCTTACTCTCCCGGATCTCTTAATTTTTTTGAGAACTTGTACAATACAAATGTTAAGTTCACTGAAACTGTATATATATACTTTATATTGTATCTATAGACTCATTGAAATAAACACAGACATACAAATAAACACGTATTGTTATGTGAGACAGTTTCAGAATTGTAGTTCAAATTATATGTCTGGCTTGTATAAAAAAGACACGAAAGTCACTTAAAAATTCCCAACAATTTCAATTGCAGATCGCGGTGGCGACCTCGAATTTTATTTCAACAGAAATAGACTTGTTTTGACGGCCTGTTTGCGTGTGATGATCTTTATTGCACTATAACAAAAAAAGTAATCAGAAATGTAAATGTCTCTTCTCGTACAAAAATCGACTAACTACACACCGCTATATATTTGTGTTTCTTTTCTTGTTTATAAACCAACTAGCTATGCCAGCAGTTTCGTACACGTGAAATTTATAGCATATATGTTATTCTGATGTATAAGCTACATTACTGTAGAGTTTCAAAATCCGTTCAGTAGCGCTTATGCGTGAATGAGTAACAAACATCCATCAATTTCTGAGATAGCGTGCACAAAAGTACAGAGAAATTTTTAGAAACTATATGATTTTTATAAATTACTAGCGACCCCGCAAACGTTGTTTTGCCATATAAATAAAATCGCTGTTAAAAAATATAGGTTGGTGATAGAAGAGTGAAGGGAAAATTTTGGGTTGCATGTATTTTTTAATGCCACATTATATAAAAAAAATTAAAATATTTTTTTGTCCAAAAATTGAAATATGTTTGAGGTTGGCAACCCTCATCACTTGGGAGTATAAAAAATAGATAGTACCTGATTCTCAAACCTACTTAATATGCATAAAAAATTTCATAACAGTCGGTCAAGCCGTTTCGGAGGAGTATGGTAACTAACATTGTGACACGAGAATTTTATATATAAGAAAATAAAGAAATTATATTATTTGTGTATAGAAACTAAAAAATATTTCATGTAATTTATTATAGATCCTAATATTGCAATTATTTCAAGCTCCACAGAATACAATATCCAATAAACTGATCATTAAAATGATTCGATTTAAAAATATATAAAATCAAACGCGAGTGTACTCTCTCCACTTTCACGTTGAATGTGTGTGTATGTATGTGTGGGGTAGGGTTGCCAACTTTTTATGACAAAAAAAACGTATTAACTGGTTTGGATAGGAAAAAAAAAGTATTTTTAAAATTTCATGTTTTTATTGCTTTAAAAACGTATTTTTGTGTGCTTTTGACACTAGAGCTGTGACAAATGTCACAACTTACAATTGACATCTAACATTTCTTTCAGTAATTATAAATCGTTAAGTACCCATAATGAGTATTTTGTATTACGCATCACAGTAAAGGTTGGAAATAAAGTGTTTTTGCATACTTTGTATGTAAAAGTATAAGTACCAAAAGTAATGTAGGATACGTTATTATAAAGTATGGTTGGCAACCCTAGTGTGGGGTGAGATGGCTGTGTGCGTCGCGGCCGGTGACCTTGCTATCAGGCGGAAGCGCGCGGCCGCGTGAGTCAGCGCGCGTCTGCCGACGAGTTC